CAAGATGATTGCCTGGTTGTGTTTTTGGCATGCAAATGCTGACTGTGTGAGATTGTCTATGCCTAGGAGGGACCTTTTGGCTGCCTGTACGCTTGGCCCCAGCAGGACACTGCCATGCTTTTCGCAGCCTCAAAGCTTGCAATGGCCCTTTGGTAGGCCCAAGGATCGGCTCTGAGCAAGCTGTGGGGCAGAAAGGTTCAACTTCAAGGAACGGGCTGGGAAATCGCTTCTACCTGCACTGTTGAGGCAGCCTGCTGTGGCCTGATGTTGGTGCCAGCATGCCCTGGAGCTGCCTGATCCTTGTTCTGCAGCCTCACAGCACCAAACAAAGCAGCTGCAACGGCCGTAGCTTGCCTAGGGTTGCCCAAGCAAATCCTGCGTGACAGGACTGCATTGAAAAGCAGCAATGGCCATCATGCATGTGAGGATGTTTTTGTTGGGTGTGGGACCCCATACCTTCCTTCCTTGCAGAGCGCTCTGGGATGGGCCTCGGAGCTGGGGACAATGGTGCATGTAGCCAGCCAAAGGGTGTGTCCTGATGACGTTGTTCAAGCCAATCCAGAGCTCCACCACTTTACGATGGGGAAAGTGTTGCTTTGCATCCCTACATGCTTTAAAGGCTCCACAATGTGTCTGGGCAGTTCCCTGTCCTGTCCATTGTCCATACCGGGTCAGCAGATGCTTGTGTGTGTGGCCTTGGAGCTGCTTGCTGCATGGACGGCTCTTGACCTGCATCTCTGTTGCTTGGATGGCCCAGGGATGTGCAAAGCAGGGCAGGCTTGTATGAGTTGTTGGGACCAGAGCAATGCTAGCATGGGTTATATGTGCTTTTGCAAAGGTCCCTTTCATCTGCGGCCATAGGACCCTGAAAGCACTGCATCCGTCCGATCTGCAAAGTTAAGCAGGGTACCGCCTAGCTAGTACTGCGGTGGGGGACCACGCGGGAATCCTAGGTGCTGCAGTTTCCTTTTGCCCTTTTTTTCTTCTCCATCCTCCTCCTCCCTTCTTCCTTCTTTTGCCTTGCCATGCCGTACACCTCTGCCCCATTTCCTCCCTGCCCTCTGATGGACCTTAATTGGTTGCTGCATGTGTCAGTTCTTCTGTTGCTTGCAGCCTGTTAGGGCAACCCCGAGAGGCGCTCAGCGGTGGCGTGGAGTTAACTCCACACGCGCCGTACCCAAGGCTTGGACCCATGGGGCGCGACCCGCGCTGCGGTAGTGTCGACCCTACTGGCGTGGTAGACAGTGCAAGGCCGGAGAAGCTAGGTGTTTGCTTCCGGTCGTCGATTGTACTTAGTATCTATAGGATCCTACGGTACAATATTGATATCCCTTCACACACTTACTGTCTCCCTCAACCTCTCCTGGTACACTACGCCGCCTTAGGCCTACCTACGGTTAGCAAGACCCCTAGGGCTTAACACAGCCCTTGGTGTGCTGTGCCTGTCTCTTTGCCACACCAGAGATCACATTTCTGTTTGAGGACCACTGCACTGTGCATGAGCTTGTGCTTTGGTCAGCCTCATCTTGATCATTGCTGTTGGCCTAGGCAGCTGCACTCTCCACCTGAACCAAGCTCATGGCACCAGGACACTCAGGCATGCGCTGTGAAGGCAGGTTGGGAATGACTGCTGCTGTTGGCCCCCTGGCAGCCTGTTGTTTCTACATGTGTGAGCATGTATATTGTCTCAAAGTAGGTGTGCACACAGGTGAACATAGGTCAGAGACTTGTCTTCAACAGTGGGAAGAGAGATGTAAGGGCAGAGGTGATTGTGGAAATCAGCAGAGCTGAATGTCAGGGTCGGCCACTGATGTTGTGCTGCCGAGGTTGCAGGAGGGGGTCCCCCGGTGAAGCCGATGCGCATGCTGCGCGACGGGCGGGGGTCTGCAGGTGTGTGTTCGGCTCGTTTCGCGTGAAATGCGCTGCAGTCTCGGCTCTTCCGCCCCTGCTCCGCCCGCTCGCCTGTTGTGCTCGGCTGAACCAAGTGGTGGTGTGCCTATGGCGGCCCTCCGTCGTCGTCATCGGCCGACTAACAACACCATTTCCGCCACCATCATCACCACCACCAGCGCCCATCGTCTTAACTGGATCGCAGTTGCCACCCGACCGCCTCGCGGGCCGCCACACGCTTCATCTCGCCGACCTACGCTAGACTTTCCTAGCCCTGCTCTCCTCCTCCTCCCTCCTCTTGCTCTCGCCATCTCGACTCCAACCAGCCGCGCCCGTCATGGCCGGCACCAGCCTTCCTAACGGCTCCTCGACCAGTGCCTCATCCAGCCACGACTCGACGCCCTGTCGCAAATCGACTGGCGCGGGCTCAAGCTCGGCCTCCAGCAGCCACGGGACCCACAATGGCAGGCATCACGGCGACCCATCGGATGCCGGCAGCTCGACGACAACCACCACCACCACCCGCCTGCTCGCAGACAGCAACCTCGTCGTCACGGACACGGCGTCAACCTCGGCCGTTTCCGACTCGATCCGCGCGTCCACCTCGGCCCTGGGAGAGTCGATAAGCCGGCCCGTCTCGGCGGCCTCGATGCGCATCCGCGTCGATCGGCCCTCGAACGAGGCCATCAGCGGCAGGGCGCTCTACACCCACGTCCCCACCGGCTTTGAAGAGGAGCCCCTGCTGCGCCCGCCCTCGCCCGACTACGGCGCCTCTTCGAGCGCATCAAAGGCTGGTGGCGGCCGCAGCGATGCCGGCGGCATCGATGGCCGGTCTACCTTCAATGAGCGCCTCACCCATATCTTTGCACGCCGCGGCGGCGCACCAGCCTACGGCCGGCCCACGCTCTACAGCCGCCTGCGCCTCACCTTCAGCCAGACGCTGGCCAATGTGCTGTCTTCGTTTTTCCTCATCCTCGTCGTCGTCTGGGCGCTCTCGGTGCGGATCGTCTCGAGCCTGCCGAGCTTCTTTACGCCGCAGATCATCGAGGAAAAGGTGTGGGACGACGCGCCACGCTGGAAGAGGGAGAAGCTGGTCAAGGACGTGCGCTACTATGCCGCCTCGTGCGGCTTCGAGATCCGCAACGAGACCGTCGAGACCCAGGACGGCTACTTTCTGCGCGTCCACCGCGTCATTGATCCGCAGACGACGCACAAGAAGCACGCCGACGGCCGCGGCGGCTTCCCCGTCCTCATCATGCACGGCCTCTTCCAGTCCAGCGGCAGCTTTGTCACCAGCGAGGAGAGGTCGCTCGCCTTCTGGCTGGCGAGAAAGGGCGGCTACCAGGTCTTCCTCGGCAACAACCGCGGCGTCTTTGACATGGGCCACCGCAAGTTCAAGCGCAGCGACCCACGCTTCTGGGACTACAACATCCGCGAGCTCGCTCTCTACGACCTACCCGCCATGGTCGACTTTGTCAGGAAGGAGACCGGCTACGACAAGGTGAGCTGAGCAGCCGGTCGAACAGCCACGCTGCCCGGAGGTCTCTTTCCCTCCTCTTCTGCCGTTTCTCGTCGCTGACATCGTGTCGCATCGCTCAACCTTGTCGAGCGGGCCGCCCGCTCCACCTCCATCTTCATCCCCCTGCCCACCTCCCCGTCGCAGATTGCCTACATCGGACACTCGCAGGGCAACTCGACGGCGTTCATCTCGCTCTCGCAGGGCATGGTGCCGGAGCTCGGGCAGAAGCTCACCTGGTTCGGCGCACTCGCACCGGCCGTCTACGCGGGCCCGCTGACGTCGTGCTTCCCTTTTACCTCGCTCGGCCACATGGAGTGGTCGACGTGGAAGCGCTTCTTTGGCGTGCTCGACTTTATCCCGCTCATGAAGATTTCCTACGACTGGACGCCCGCCTATCCGTACGCGCTGCTGGGCTACCAGATGTTCGCCTTCCTCTTTGCGTGGACTGACGCCAACTGGCTGCAGCGACGCAAGGCCAAGATGTTCCGCTTCACGCCCCAGCCCGTCTCGTCAGCCTCGATCTACTGGTGGGCGGGCAAGGACGGCTTCGCCACGCGCGGCTGCATCCTCGATCCGAAAGCCGAGACCTGGTGGAACACGGGCTGCTTCCCGCCGCTCAGCATCTTCAGCGGCGGCATGGACTTCCTCGTCCTCACCGATCCGCTCATGGACCGGCTCGAGAAGAAGGAAAAGGGCGTCCGGTTGAAGCGCTTCAAGAGGCAGGACGAGGCAGAGCACTGCGACCACTTCTGGGCCGCCGATGCCGTCGAGTGGTGCTTCGAAGACATCCTCGCCGACATCGAGGACACGCGTCCCCCGTACGTCGACGAGGACGACGACGACAGCGGCCGGCGGCGAGACGACCGGGCAGAGGGCCGACAGCGCGGTGACGACCAGCAAAAGCAGCAGCAGAGGCAAGGCAGGCTCGTCGACGTCATCTAGAAACACCAGTCGAAGAGCATGGACCGGACCGGGTTCGGATCGCATTTTCAGATAGATGGCCTTGGGAAACCTTTCATCCGCCGCCGAGCCCGTATTTTTGGGCGGCGTGCGCATCTCCGTCCTGCTACCCGTCTATCGTCGTACCGCACGTTTTGTCTTGTAACGAATTCGCCTTGATGACCAATGACGATGCCCATCTCCGGCTAACGGAAGGCCGCCTGACTCGTCGTGCGGCCGGGCGAATCACGTTTGGCATCTTGCGTCCGCTGTCGAGCACTGTCGTGACGTGCCTGCCGTCGCGATCCAGGTTCAGTCGGAGTCGGAATCGCTGCTGTCGTCGTCCTCCTCCTGCTCTTCGTCTTCGTCCTCGTCGCTGTCGTCGTCGCTGTCGCTCTCGTCGTCGCTCTGGCTCCGCATCGGCTTGACCTTCTGGCCGCGCATCGCTGCCATCTGACCCGCAAGGCTGTCTTCCTCCGGGTCGCTGATCTCGTCCTCGATGTCCTGCTCTTCGAGCGCCGCGGGGTCGTCGACCTTGAGCTTGACGCTGCGCGCAGCGTCGCACCCGAGGAACGAGTCCGACTTGAGCATCGCCTGGAACGTGTACATGCCGGCCTGCGGTGGCGCCTGGAATTGGACGGTGTAGGTGCGGACGCGATCCGAACCAATGTCGGACACACGCGTCGGCTGCACAATCACGCGATCCAGCTTGTGGTCTCCGAGCATCACCCACCACGTCGGCTTCCGCTCCTGAGACAGGCAGACCCGAAAGAGGCCATAGGGCAAGTGGCGGTCAAGAGTCAGCAAGTCAAGTCGAAGTCGGGAACGATGCCGACGCTGGGGCCGACTCACCTCGAGGTAGTAGGGCGCCCGGGCGAAGCCGACGGGTGTCTTGCCCTCCTTGTCGCTCTTCTCGTCCTTCCTGCCAATCAGGGCGTCGAGCGTCGTGTCGTCGTCGTCCTCGGTGCCCGGCCGGACGCTCGTCTCTTCGTCGGTGCGCTTGGCATCGGCGCGGACGCCATGTCTGAGCAGGCTGCCGTCCTTGCGGAGGGGCAGGGTGCGCACCTTGACGACAAACTGCACAATCGACCCGGTGGTGGCCAGCTTCTCTCCGGTCACCTTGAAGTAGGCATCGACGAGCTCGAGGCGGGGCCACTCGCGCATCACCTTGACGGCCAGGTCGTAGTCGCTCTGGGAGACGCCCTCACCAAAAAGGAGGCGCTTGCGCTCGGAGTCGGGCACTTTCCACAGGCCCTGGATGCCCTGCGAGGCGACGGGGTGGGCCTGGACCAGCTTGCGGGCGGCTTCGATGGTGATGCCAGGTAGCTGGACGAGCTCGACGGCGGGGTCGTCGTGGATCGGCACGGCCTGGACAAAGCGCTGCACGAGGTTCATCAGGACCAGGGTCTCGGTGAGCCAGTTGTGCGCCAGCGAGATCGACATGAGGCCGTTGAGCTGCGCCACTGCCTTGTGGGCGTAGCGGTACTTGGCCTTGGTCAGCCGGACGCTCGGGGTGTCGATGCGCAGCACATGTGCGTAGAGCAGCACGACGGCCTTGCGGATGGAAGCGTTGCGGAAGCCGTCGATCAGGCCCCACTCGGGCACGAGCTCAGCGATCTTGGCACGGACGTCATGTTCGAGCTGGGTCAGGGCGGCCTCGTCGGCGTCCTTGCCCGTGCGGTTGAGCTTGGCGTCGTTGAACTCGTCCGAGATGGCCATCAGCGCGAGGATGCGCGGGACGGGCGTGTCCTCGCGCAGGTGCTGGAAGTAGGTCTGGGCGGTGTTGTTGATCAGGCCGTCCTTGGTCTTGGAGCGCGAGCCGTACCACCACTTGGCGACGAGGTAGGGCAGGCCGACGCCAAAGATGAGGCCGTACACGCCGAGGACGTAGATGTTGTTGTGCGACTCGATGACCCAGCGGGGCAGGGCGATGCCCATCGACATCTCCTGGCGTCCGTCGGGGTGCCCATAGAGCTCGAAGTTCTTTCGGATGGTCTCGTCAGTGAGTCTGTGGGGAGCAAGGAGACGGGCGCGGCACGCGAGGGAACGGGACGGGACGGGACGGGGTCCGAGATGTCAGCGGACGCGCTCTCGAGGGCGACATGGGATGGAGTGGAGCCACACGCAGCGAAGGCGACGATGCAAGGGCATTTTGACCACTCACGACTTGTAGGCCTTGGTCAGCTCGATGAACTGGGACTCGGCCTCCTCCTTTGTCTGGTTGTCGCCCAGGACGAGCTTGTCCGGGTGGAACTTGACGCTGAGGCGCTTGTAATGCTTTTTGATCTCCTTTTCGGTGGCGCTGGTGGCGAGGCCGAGGATGGAGAAGGGGTCGTAGACGGCGTGGGACGAGTTGGCGGCGGCGTTCATGATCTTCTGGAAGAGGAAGGCGACGACGCCCCAGCCGGCGACGACAAAGAGGAAGCGCTTGCTGATCTGCGGGTTGGTGATGCTGCGGCGGTTTACGCGCTTGATGGCGGCCACCTTTTGGCCGGCGGCATCGAACCAGCCCTGCCTGCCGGCTCGCGGCTTGGACGAGGAGAGGAGCGAGTAGGTGAGGGGGACGAGGACGAGGAGGAGGAAGGTGAGGACAAAGGTGAGGAACTGGCCTCCCTCCTCGTCGTACTTGTACTCGGCCATGTCGTCGAGGTTGGGACAGGGCGACGCCGAAGCTGTGGGGAGCGCTACGGGTCGGTGCCTATCGTTGATGTGTGAGAGGGTGGGTTATCAGACGAGGGGGCGGGCCGTTTGAGCGGGAGAACACCAGAATGTGAACGCTGATGGTCGAGTGGTCCCCGGAGGCGGCTGGCCAGGATCTGCGCGGGTGTTCGAGCCGGGGTTCGGGCGTCGAATGGCACGGCGCGAGATCAAAGAGCGTGTAGCGTCGGCCAGTGCGATGGCGAGAGCCTGGTTGGGAGTATGGCGGTGGTGCTTGAGGACGGCGACGGTGGACGTGGTGGTGGCGATGGTGGTGGCAAGAGGGGCAGGTTGGCAGGGTGGGTAGAGCGGTGCGTCGTGTTGCGCGGCTCTTGGCTTTGGATCCTTGGTTTGGCTGGGGGTCGGGTCGGGTCTGGACTGGTGTCTGGCCCAAGAAGTTTGCACGCAAGCAAGCAGCGCGGCGGCGGTCGGTGCGTTCGCTGGCAGGTCCACGTCGGGTGGAGCGAGGTGGGCGTGGGTGCCAGCCAGCCTGGAAGGAAGGCTTGCCAGCGGGGCAGCCCTCTGGGGGAAGCTGGGCAAGGCTTACCTGTCTCGCGCGACTCTTGCTGGCTGGCTGGCTGGCTGGCAAGGCTGGCCGGCCCTTGATCAAGATCAGCAGCCTCGCTCGGGCCCGCACCGCCCTTCCCCCCAAATCCGCTAAGCCTGGCCAGGCCTGCCTCGACGCGGGCCTCGACGTCGGTCCCCAGCCACCTTAGAATGATGGCAGCATCCCCACCACGAGACCCCTCCATCGCGCCCAACGACATGGCGTCAGCAGCGCCGTCATCGTCGACTCCTGCGGCAAAGGCAGAAGCCAAGGTGAGCTCGAGCGCATCCTACCCCAAAACAGACCTTGTCCTCCATCTGCCCTGGGGAGCTCGGGTCATCACGGCCAGCGCTGACGTCCTGACCGACCATCCCGGGGCGCTCCCTCGCCACTCGTCGACCACGCACAGCCGAGCAATCTCTACATCCATCGTCAGGCGGGCACACCGCGCTCCTGCTTCATCTGCTACAAGCAGACGCCCCACGTCCTCGTCTCGTCGACGGTACCCAGCCTCGACTTCTTCTACGTCTGCCTCGCCCACCTCGGCGATACCCACTTTGCCAAGCGCGTCTCGACGCCCGCCGCGCCACCCTCGGTCGCTTCCACCTCGGTGCAGCCCGATGCCGCCACAGTCTCGCAGGCGGACATCGACAGGGTCAAGAAAGAGTACGACGAGAGGCAGCGCAAGTTGAAGGAGAAAAAAGAGTTCGACGCGGCCGCAGCACAGGAGTCCGACAAGAAGGGGAACAAGCCCAGCTCAATGACCTCGTCCATCTTCTCCACCCTCTCGTCGGCCGTGTCGAGCGTCGCTTCGGCCGCCACCTCGGCCGCCACCTCGTCGCCCTCTTCCCCTGCATCGACAGCAGGCGCCGCCGCTACCCCTGCTGGCCCCACGTCGCCGACCCCGACAACCAACCAGTCCCCCCTCCATAGCAAGTACGCGCTCCATCGCGAGTTCTACAGCCAGCGGCTACGCGACTGGAACAACCGCCAGGCAAAGATCCGCGAAAAGCAGCTCAACTTGCCTCGCGTCCCCAACGGTGCACCCTCCTGACCTAGCTGAGTCCGACCTCGGCCTCGCCCTCGAGGTTCCGCCCCCTTGCGGTTCCCGTCCCTTCTCACCCATTCTCGCCGCCATGACGCGCCCGCCCGCCTCCTTGTACTTGTAGCCGTTGCCATTTGTATCCAGATTCATCACCATCTTCCTCTATCCGTGCCTGCGCCCGTCCGATCAACGCCGGTGCAGACGTCATGCGCAACGCCAGCAGCGCAGCAACTGCCAGGCCACTCCGGTCTTCACCGCATGCGCAAGCGAGAAGGACACGGCCAGGGCGAGCGGCTCCTCTCCTGCGCACTGCAGACACCAGCACGTCAATGGCAAGCAAAGGAGGGTATGAGATTGGCCAGAAAGAGCGCAGAGCACCAAGCGAAGAGCGAGTGATCCGGCGACGAGGAGGACAAGATGGGACACCAACAGTCGCGCGATGCTGCTTGACAGACGGCGGCGAAGCGTTGGGAGCGAAAGATGCTAATGCAACCGAGAGGAGTGACGAGGATGGCAGGCGAAGGGCGGACGACGACGACGACATCCACCGAGGTCCCCGGGGATTTCTATGGTAGGGGTTTGATGGGGCCGAGTATAAGAGAGCGTGTTGCTTGGCGGCGGACCAGGGCAAGGACCAGGGGAAAGCAAGGAAAACTGACCGCACAGGAGACGAGTAGCAAATGGGCGTATGAACAGCGAAGAGCAGCCGATAGACAGCTAGCCACCATGGTGGCGACGCATCGAAGCGCAGGCAAGCGCGCGGCTGGATGAAGTCGAACAGGAGGGCCGGGGGCAGTGCGACGGGCCAGGTCGAGAGAGTGTCAGGATGGGGGATTGTCCTTTCGCGTCCTTTCGCGTGGGGCCCGCCTCGGCGCGTCATGGCTTAGCGGGTGTCACGCCAGTCCGCGCGCGAGGTGGAGTGCGGGGTCCGGGAACGATTGAAGAGAGAGCAAGCCATGCCATCGCTCCGTTTAGAGGAGGTAGGCACCGGCGACGACGGCGGCGAGCGAGGCGAGGATGCCCGAAGCCTGGAGCGAGAGGGCACCGCTGGCGTTGCCAGAGCTGGAGCTGGCACCGCTGGCCGAGTTGCTGCCGGTGGCGGCGGGAGCGCGGGAGCCGCCCGAGGTCGACGAGCCGGCGCGCGACGAAGCCATGCCCGACGAGCTGGCGCCAGTCGAGGTGGCGGCCGACGACGAGGCCGACGACGACGACGACGAGACGGCGGGGACAAGGCTGGCAATACCGTTCTTGATCGTGTCGGTGGTGCGGCAGTTGCTGGTCGAGGGCGTCGAGTAGGCGGCGGTGGGCGTGACCTGGTCGGCGGCACCGTTCGTGTACTGCATCGTCTGGCCGTTGACGACGTACTCGCCGGTGAAGAACTGGTGGAAGGTCGAGGTGGAGCCGTCGGGCTGGGGGTAGTGGCCGGGAGGGTAGGCGGCATCGCCGTCGCACGTCTCGAAGACGTTGTCGGCGTAGTTTCCGGGCATGACAAAGTTGCAGCCCATGACGTCGAGCTCGTGCTCGCAGACGTCAGCGGTGGGGGCCTGGTCGCTGCCGGCGATGCAGATGCGGAAGCACACCTGGTTGTACGAGACGTAGTTCATCCACTCCTCGTAGAACACGTCCTCGCCCGAGACGTTGGACGTGACGTTGCCGCCGACGGGGTTGCCCATGTTGGTGGCGCCGTGCGGGTCGAGCTCACCGCCCTCGTCTCCGGCGACGATGCCAATCTTGGTGAAGTCGCCGAGAGCCATCAGCTGGACGTAGAGCGGCGTCTTGACAAAGTGGGCAGCCGTCACGGTTCCGTCGGGCTGTTTCGAGGGGACGGGGGCCGGCGATATGGTCATGGACACGGTCAGCAAGGGGCGCTAATATGAAGGAGGGGGAGGAGGCTGCAGCGGCTTCGGCGGAGGCGGCAGTGGCAGGGGTAGCGGCAGCGGCAGCAGCAAATGCACCCGTACAGCCCTCGCCTGTCAACGCCCGCCGTCGCGGCGGCGATCAAGCTATGCGGTGTGCTCACAATGACACGGGCGTTGTTGCGGGCCTTGGTGCAGTAGGCGACGGTCTCGCCCTCGACGTCGCCGATGACGGTGCCGGGGTCGCGGGGGCCGAAGGTGCACCAGTCATCGACCGAGTTGAGCGAGGCGAGGCGCGACTCGGACTTCTGGTTGATGGGGGTGTTGAGCTGAGGAGTCTTGGGGTTGGTGGGGCCGTTGGAGTTGACGCCCTTGACGCCGGGCGCGTTGGGGCTGGGGGTTCCGTAGCGGAAGGGGGGGACCGACTGGGCGGTGGCGCCGGCGACGGCAAGGGCGGTGGCGAAGAGAGCGGCCTTCATGTTTGCTGCTGGCGGTGGCGACGTAAGTGGGGCGAGAGAGGCGACGGAGGATGAAGAAGTCGTATGAACAAGCAAAGAGAAGGGAAGCCGTCCAAGGAGGATGTCGGTGGTTGTGGTGGTGGTGGTAGTTGCGGCGGAAGGATTGGAGAAGGGGAGAGACGGGAAAGAGGAGAGAGGCTGAGGGCAGGCGAATGAGAGGCGGCAACGATGTTTAAGAGAAGGGGCGGGGCGGCGCTGAGCTGAGGAGAGAGAGAGGAGAGGGGCGAGGAGATGAGGAAGCAGACAGGGGGCAGGCAGAGTAGGCCAGGCCAGGGCCGACTGAGGGCCTCAAGGGCTTCGAGAAGGACACAACACGCCCGCCCGCCCGCACGCACGCACGCACGCGGCCACCCCGAGCGAGCCTGCAAGCGAGCCAGCATCCAAAGCAGCAGCAGCGCAGCAACAGCAGCCAGCCTCAGCCACCTAGCCTCAGGGGCCAGGGGAGCAGGCAGCCAGAAAAACGCTCGCCCGCTCGCACGCATCCAACCCGCCTCGACCTGCAGAAAGAACGAGCTAGGGCGCAGGCTGGCAGGCCAGGCAGGGGCAGGGCCGGGGCGAGGCGGGTGGCGGTGATGCGGAGTAGGTGTAGGCTAGGCTGGGCCTGAGGCGAGTGCGCGTGCCCGCCCCTATGCCGTGGTCATCCTGTCCGGGCTGGCTGCTGTTTGCAACCGGGCTGCGTCCAACGCGCTGCTGGAAACCGCCTTCTGTCACTCTACGGTACCGGTACCTGGGCATGCTTCGAATCACACCCCTCTTTGGGCTCACACGCACACGCATCTCGACGCTCGACCGTGACCTAAGCTGGGCCGATGATGAGGCGAGGCGAGGGGGGGCGGGGCGGGGCGGGTCGAGGTGGTGCGGCAAGCCAGCGACGGATGAACGGACAGACGATGCCGCCGCCACCCGCCCGACGAGCCGCCAGAAGAGCCGCCGCCGCC